GGAACATAGAAGACAGAGAGAACAAAGAACACAGAGAAGGTGCCCTTCTTGGGAGCCTCTGCTCTCAGAATGTCAGCAAGTTGCATGTGCTCCTCCCATTGGCTGGCAGCAGTCTGAGGGTCCCAGCTGAGAGTCTATTGGAGGATCTGCTCTTTGTTTTGCCCAGTTCATCTTTGTCAGTTTCCCTCATTCTCCTTTTGCAGTTATGCTGCACTTCCACCCAGCCTTGCTCTAGCTGGCAACTTCAACAGTCCTCTGTGGTCAGGCAGAAGGCAGTGTCCCCACTCCTGTGTGCATGCTGATGGATTTTCTTTGCTCCCTTTCCTCCCAGGTCAAAGCAGTACTCATGCTCGCTGAGTTTCAATCTGACCCTGGAGTTTAGTGGTCTTGTCAGGCAGGCAGGAAAGAGACTGCATAGGCACTGATCTTGTTTTCTCCATTCCCGCTGATCCTGCTTCCCAGTTGTTTAGCTTTCCAAAGGATGTCTTTCCAGCTGGGAAATCCGGTGGCATTTGGGGCCCACAGAAGAGAACCCTTCTGCAGCAATTTCAGCAGTGTTTGGGGCCAACACTCACTGCACTTCTTCCCTGCGGGATTTGAACTTTTCCCAGGATGGCTGGTTTGCTGGCCCTGGGCTGGAAGTGGTGCTGGGATTGGGAAGTGGCCTTGCTTTTTTGCAAACACGCATTTCAGGATTTCTGATTTCTCCTTCAAGTTGCCTTCCCTTGGTTGGGGTTTTGTGCATCCCTTCATATTTGAATACCCTGGTCCTGGGGAGCATCTTCTGTGCACACTGCTGCTGCTCTTGCCTGATCTGCTGCTCCCCTGCTCTGCACCTCCTGACTAGCTTATTCTCTTCCATGAGGGGCCTACCAGCTCTCAAAGGCAGACTTGCTTATTTATTCATGCAGAAGCTTATTTTTTTTAATTAGTACATGATAATGATTGCCTTCCTCATGGGGAATTGGTACATGTACATACTGTGTCTTAATTCCTTTTCATCTCTTCCTCTCCCCTCTCCTCCTTCCCTCCATTTCTTCTTGAATTTTTTTGCATTTTATTTTCACTGGCAAGCGCAATACCACTCTTATTTTTTATTAGTTTAAAAATACTTACTATGCAAATGTCAATTTTTTATTAGTACATGTTTGCAATCTGTGTGATTTACAGTCATTTTGGGGGAGTGTTTACAGGTACATATTACAGCTTCTTTTCAATCCCCTTTTCTTTCTCTCCCCTTCCCCCTGCCTGTCATGTTCTCCTATCCCCTTTTTCATTCTTGTTGATAGTATTTGTCTTAGCTCATGTTGTGGCACATAGTGTCTATATTAATTGTGTTATTAGGTTCCTGTATACTGAACATATTTATTCCTCTCATTTCCCCTCCCCTCCTCCTCACCCATCAGCCTTGTTTCCTTGGACCACTTTCCTATTGCAAGAGATCTTTCTAACCATCCTTTAAGAGATCTTTCTAACCATCCTTTAAGAGATCATTCTAACCATCCTTTATCGTTTTCTTAGTACTTTGCCTCACTCAAATGAGAGATACTATATGGTACTTAAGCTTGTGTGTCTGGTTTATTTCACTCAACATTATATTTTTCAGGTGCATCCATTTTCCTAGAAATGTCTCAAATGTGTCATTCTTTGTAGCTGAGTAGTATTCCATTATATATAGATACCACAATTTCTTTACCCAGTTGTCTGTTGATGGGTATTCAGGCTGCCTCCAGGATTTAGCTATCCCAGATTATGCTGCTATAAACATCGATATGCCAGTATCATTGTGGTATGATGACTTAAGCTCTTTGCCAGGAAAGATACCTGGCAGGGGATAGCTGTATCATATGGGATTTCAGAAACATTTATTGAGTAAGGTACTGCACAATGTTGTGAATAAAAAGTGAAAGAAATGTACATTTTGCAGAGCTTTATAGTTCAAAGGACAGATATTTAAGGACAGATATAAAAACTTCTATAAATATGTAATGACAATTTATGATGGTGCATGAAGGAAGGATGTTGAAAAAATATTTATCTTTTGGGGGGTATGTCAGGCCATATGATTAAGGAAATAAACTTTAAAAAATTTATTAGTACATGTTTGTAGTACATGAAGTTTACATTGATCTCAGAGAATAGGTACATGGGCATAATACGTCTCAATCCCCATTTTATTCGCCTCCCCACCTCCCTCCCTCTCTGTGACTCTAAATCCCCATTTTCTTTCTTCATTATTTTTGTTATTGTTACAGTAGGTAGTGTTTACATTCTGTGTGGGTATTTGATATATGTACATGACACATCTTAATTAGGGCAAAATATTCACCTGACTGCAGCAGAACTCCTGACTTTTAGCTCCAAGTTCTTAGCCTTTAGTACAGCTGAGAACTTAGAAACAAGTAACTTAGTTTTCAGCTGCCTTGTTTCTTAATTCTTCTATGATGACTTAATCATTGACTCGACATTCTTCTGCTTGGGGGGAAATATTATAAATTTTGTAAGATCTGGTCTAGAAGTGAACCAAAGTTTTTTGATTCTGTTTCTTTTCTCTGTCTAGCATCAATAGTCTTAAAATAGATTAATTTAGCACCTTGAGGTCAAACAAGCTTCACACTCTTCGGTGTTTTTTTCTCAGTTTAAAAATACTCTTTTGTGCTTGGTTACCTACTTTGTGCAAAGGTAACTTCCTGTGTTCTTTCCCAGTACCAACAGGTGAAGATTTTTACAACTGAACATACAGTGATCGGGTCTGTTCACTCTATTGCTTTGTACCAACTTGCCATGTATGAACCATGCTACCACCAGTTCAGTTCGTTCCCTTATTTTAGGAACTATTCCTAGATTAATCCATTTTTTACTTGACTGAACCTGTACTGCTGTAATATGTTTCATTTTTAATTAGGATAAAATGCTGTGAGAAATCCAATACAACCCCACTCTGTTGTCACAATTCACTTATGAACTTTTGTTCATTTCAGTGGACAAAAACTTTGGTTTCTTGTGTAGGATGCTTTTTTTCTTTTCTCTCTGAAAATATTCCCTCTCAAGCATGTGATTATTGATGGATTCCTTAGTATGGTTTTTAAATATAAATCTGAAAATTGTGCCATCTTACACTGGTTTTCTTTCATGTAATCTGAAGTTGCTTACCTTTCCTAGTTTTTTTTTTACATGAAATGTTTATAAACCTCCCCATTCCTCCATAGTGTATCTTCTATGATCCCAAAAGAACAGATGCATTATTGAAACGTGGGAAATTTTACTTTGAAAATGAAAATTGGATTTCAGCCATATACGATTTTACAGCTTTGTTAAAGATAGAGCCGCAAAATTATGAAGCATGGTAAGAATTGTTTCAAATATATTTTTGAAATTTATGATAATATTTCAGTAAAAAATATTGCCTAAATACACTTAACAGCCCTTTAAAAACAAGGAATCAATTTTCAATATCACCAGTGAATGAAAATGTTACCTACACTCTAATGGTAAAGGGTAATTTAATGTTACAGGTGTAAATGAAAAGTAAAAGTTATTTCATTTGCATTTCCTAAATATTTGTTACATTATACATTTCAAAAACACTGGCTACCATCTATATTTTACTTCCTTACATTTATTGTTCATATATAGCCTTTGTATCTACTGAGTACAGAGAATTGCTCATATAAATTTTTGTAGCATCTTATTGTAATGTGTATACTAAACTTTGTTCTTCTAACGTTATTATGCATAGTGTAGTTTTCATTTTCTTGTTCTCCTTTTAATCGAAGGTTTGTTTTGAAGAGATTTGAAATGGGTACATAGTCATGACTGTGAATCTCTTCACTTGCAATTTGCAGTTGCACTTAAAGTAAAGCATGCATCCAGAAAAACATGTAAAAGAGAAATTTATAGCTTAATGACATCACTATGTAAATGCCCCTGTAACTACCACTAGGTGAAGAAAAAGTCACTTCAGGGGCTGGGGATTTAGCTCAGCGGCAAAAGCGCTTGCCTGGCAAGCGCAAGGTCGTGAGTTCGGTTCCCGGTACCGGAGAAAAACCAAAAAAAAAAAAAAAAAGAAAAACTCACTTCAGCTCTTTGGAAACCTTTTATGTCCTTGCCTTCCCCAGAAGGTAGATGCTTTCTTGGCTTCAGAAGCCTCAGTCTGTGGTCGGCTGACTCTAAGGCAGAAACAGCATGAAAGGAGGGCATAGGGCAGGAAAGCTGCTTACCTCACAGCAAACAGGAAACAGAGGAGGATCCAGGGATAAGAATACACTCTTCCAAGTCACCATCCCAGTGACCTCTCCCAGCAGGGTCCCCATCTCCTAATAGCACATTCAGATTAATCCACAGAGGAGTACAGTGCCCCATGACTCAAGCACTCCATGAGCTCCCCCTCTGAGCACACAGAAGTTTGGGGGTTATGTAGATCTAAATTGTAACATCTCCCAAGTGTCTCTTTCTCCAGCTCTTCCTTCCCAGATTTTTCTTTCTTTTTTTCCAGTACCAGGAATCAAACTCATGATCTCGTGCTTGCCAGGCAGGCACTGTGCCACTGAGCTAAATCCCCAGCAGCCATTCCCAGATTTTTCTGTTGCTTTCCCTAACTATTCCTGTTGCTCTAGGTAGCAGCAGTTAATACACTTGCCTGTAAATACTTCTAGTAAACCAACCAGGAAGACATTTCTGTCCTGGGAAAGCTTGGAGGCTGACAAAACAAAGACAAGGTTTTGAGCTGGTCCTTCCATGACTTACCAAACAAATTAAAACACAAAAGCACTATTTCTTGAGCAAAGGTCCATATAGCCCTCTTTCCTAGCAGTAACCTGTACTAGGAATACGGACTGTTCTCAAGGCCTCCACTGATCTGGGAAGTGGGAATGGCAGTGAGGTAAGAGGTAAGTTTGAATACCATAGAGCTTTCTTAGCAAAGTCCAGCAGTTTCCCTCCTTTATTAACCATTGTTTTGGTTATTCTAAATTTTAAATTGGAATCCAGAGTTCCAACAGTGTTGATCCTGACAGTCTTTGGGTACTGGGAATTGAACTTGGGACCTTGTGCTTGCCAGGCAGGTGCTTGTGCCACTGAGCTATATCCCCAGCCCCTCTGACAGTCTTGTAATTGTAAGCATATTTATTGCTTTTATCAAAGAATGAAGTTTTAGGTTTTTTGTTTTTTTTTTTCCCCCGGTACTGGGAATGGAACTCACAACCTCGTGCTTGCCAGGCAGGCGCTATGTTGCTGAGCTAAATCCCCAGCCCCATAGGTTTTGTATTCTGTCATTTTTTGCTAATCTCCTAATTCTTTCTTTTATCATTATATTGATTTAACTTAGTAATTTTAGGGATTTAGGATTTAGGGATTTTCATCATTTGAAAGGTTTTAGGGTTTAGCAAAACATGTAATAGTTATAAAATTTGAATCTTTATTCTTCAAATATTTTAAGAAGTATCTTTTTTTTTGTACCAGGAATCAAACTCAGGACCTTGTACTTGCCAGGCAGGCACTGTGCCCCTGAGCTATATCCCTGGCCCACAAAGAGTATCTTCTTATTCTTACTTAAAATTTATTTTTCCTGCAATCTACTTATAAGATGTTCTCAGTCATAGGCTGATTTTGAGGGATATGTGCCTCTCATACATTATTTTAGATGGAATAAAACTATAGTGAATGTTCTTTGCTTTATTTGAAGATTTTTAATATACATTCATAGTGTGTTACTCACTTTTCTCTCAATGCTAAGACAAAATAATGAACACCCAAAATTAAGGAAGGAAAGGCTTATTTAGCTCACAGTTTGCAGAGGCTTCAGTCCCTATCAGCTGGTTGCAAGGCAGGGTGGCACATGGCACAGGGGCAACAGTTCATGGAGGTAGAAGACAGCAAAAGCAGCAAAAGGAAAAGGGGAGGAGCAAGTCTCTTTTCCTTCCTTTATATTGTATGCAGGCTACTCGCCATAGGGCCCGTGCAGCGCTCACACCGCCAATCCCAGCACTGGACAATGAACCAGTCACAAAGTCTAGATTCAGCTACCTCCAAAAAACATGTGCTCCCATGACCACATGAAGCTTTCAGGGGGACATCCAGATACAAACTATAACACATAGAGTGAGAAGTACTTTTTTAGTCAGAATTTGATTTCAGGATTTGACCACTGTCTCAAGATAGATTAAGTCTTCCATTTTTCTTAGAAGCATGCCAATTGAATGAGATTCAAAAGTGAGAAATCACTCACCTCTGGAATCATCATAACTTGCATCTAACAGATGCCTTTTAAGAACAGGAAGTATCTGGAGACCTATACTTTTCCCTTGGAAGAAAATATTTTTTACTCCATTTCCTTAAGAAATATCTTATTTTCTAACAAATTAATCTTCTTTATTTTAAATTATTATTCATTACTAAAGAATATTACTAATTATTTTTCACTAGTAATTATAAATTATTACTGTACTTATTATAGATGACTCTAATTTAAATTCTTACAGTGTAAAGCTTTTAAAATACTTTTTGTAGTGCACCATTAAGAAAAGTTAATTCTTCAAACACACTGACTTTTACATCTGTTCATTTCCGCTGCCTCAGTACTTTATTCCTTTTCGACTCAAACTTAGGGTTCTATATGACCTCACTCCTAGATCTCAAGTGATAATATTAGATTATCACATAACAAAGTTGTTTTATTTCAAAAACTTTCTCTGTGACCCTCTTTTGCCAAGAAGATGAAGCCAAATTTTTCAGTATAGAAAATACTGAAAAAATTTTTCAGTATAGAAAATACTGAAAAAATTTCAGTACTATCTTAAATACCTTGAATTCACTTTCTTTTTTCTCCAAACAGTTGAATTCCTTCCCTCAACTAATACTCCTTTAGAGAAGTAGAGAACCATAATAGTTCAATAAGAGAATTTTTATAAGATTTTGTAAAATGTTTGTCCTCCCTATAAAGTAAGACATGAAATAAAGTTAGTAAGCATGTAATTAACAAGTATATAATTGTGTAAACAATAAAGTATATCTCATTTATAAAATGTTCATATCTTTCTTGCTATAAACATCAGGGATAAACTCTTGAGAAATGAAGAGAAATAATCACAAATTGTGGTTGAAATATAAAATTAGGTAAATAGACTTGACCAAAAGGAAGATGAATATTTTGTTATATAGTAAAGTGAATTTTTCTGTTTTTCTAGGACATATCGAGGGAAAGCATATTTTAGAAGGCGCCTTTATAAACAAGCAACTGAAGACTTTTCTATTGCCATTCATTTAGACCCTAATAACTGGGTAGCACTGTATTATCGAGCATGCATATTTAGAAAGAGTAATCCTCTTAGAGCACTACAGGATTATAGTGTTTCAGGTACTTTGCCTTCAGGTGCACAAATATGATTCTGGCCTAAGGTTGACCAGCTCAGATTTATAGAGGGGAATATTAATGTGGGGCCACTACTATCATATGTATGCTAGTATATACTGATACGTGTATACTTACGTGTCAACTACACTTATTTAGATACGTACTCTGTCATATATATCTATATATTCTTATAAATCACAACGGTTAAGCTATAGGTGTTCTTGTGCCTCCTAGTGTGTGAGTGTGTATGCGTGTGCACCTGTGTGTTTGTGTGTGTGTGGGAAGGACAGACTATCATATCAAAAAGTTGTAGGACAGCCATTTTCTATAGTATTTTTCTGGAAACTCATTTTTGTTTCCTAGTCAGCATGCTGAGGTGGTATTTATTTCTTCCAATGGCTTGTGTCCTGTTCTAGGACTCTATCTGTGAGTTCGCAAAGTTTTTTGACCCTTACATTCAAAAGAGACTTTGAGAATTCTCAGTAGCTAGGGGATACGAACATGTAAAAATGGCTATTTCTACCTTACCCTCAGTTAAAGCATTTCTAGTTTACATATGTGACACAATTCTGAACTTCAGGTAAGTGTTCAGTAAACAAATAAACTGGATAAATGAGCCACCTTGATGATTTAATCCAGCCAGAGTCCAACACACCAAAGGTGGCTGTGTTACAATGGGTACAAGATCTATCATCAAAGGTGAGGCAGTATGTCGAGATTACAGGACAGCAAGACTCCCACAGAGAAAGAAATCTGTGATGATAGTTGCTTGTGTATCTTTAAGTCCATTCACTTTACGAGGTCATTCTTCCCATTGACATCCAAATAAAATAACTCAGATGCCATGCTATGTGCCAAGAGGAGGCTACTGCCTTCCCTCTGCTTCTAAGGCTTTTTGAGAAGGTGGTCTGAAGATTCCTGGTCACGTCTCTTGCACAGTTCAGGCCAGTGTCTGCTCAAGGCTGATTCCTCATCTTTGCTCACGCACTCATTTCTTGTGGCTACTGTTCTCCCTGCTCTGCTTTTCCCAGGTCCCTCCTTCATTCCCCAGTGTAACGCCCACTCAAACAGGCTGTGTGTAATGCTCTTACTGAATGTCCTAGGGTTCAGAGGATAAATTTAGCATATTACTTCAACCTGCCGATCCAGGTAGCTTTATCTGGCTCCACTGGTCCTGTTCATCTCAGATGCAGCTTAACCCTTGTCTCCCTGATCTTTCTCTAAAGGCTTGTTTCTCATATGTTCCTTTTCTACAAGTTTTAGGCTCTTTATTTCTCCTACTCCCCTCTAGACTATCACAAAAATTAAAATCTCTATTATTTAATTGCTTATAGCTGAGTAGTTTGATTTTGACCTATTATTTAATTGCTTATAGTGAAGTAGTTTGATTTTAATGGGTTAACCTAAGTTTTGTCATCATAATGCAAAAAGATTATCAAGATATTTTCTAAACTAATAATAATAATGCCTAATATTTATTTGGCATTTTTCTATTTCCTAAACACTGTTCTAGGTACTGTATATAGAATATGCCAGTTAATATTCAAATAATGATATGAGATATTATCATCATCCAAATTTAATAATGAGAAAACAGAGCATAAAGAGATTATTGCTTGACTCTAATTTTTTTTCCTTTAGAAGAGTGTTCCTACTCTTTTAGAGAAACCACCAACATTGTAACTGATTTTTTCCTTACTAGGTGATCATACTGTGAATTGTGTAGTCAGATTGCTTTCACGTGATTATTTACTCTGTGATTGTTGCTGACACTGGTTATGCTTCCCCAAATCTAGTACCAAGAACATTTGTGTCCCAGACTGAATATTTTGGGCAAGACTTTCCCTCATAAACCAGAGTGGACTTGACAAACTTGGAGTATTTGCTTCCAATTGTGTTTATAACCCATCTAATTCACTAGTATGTTTCTGAAAGTGAAGGCAGAGTGAGTAAACAAGACACTTAGACGACCTGTGGGTTGGCTGCTGATGACAATCATGCATTTGTAGCACTGAGAGGTGGTTCTTCTTGAAACGTGCATCTGCTTGCTGGGGATGCGCACGGTGAGGTCACCTGCCTTGATTCCAGGTTCTGCTTGCCTTTCGGGTAGCCGCTTAGCAGCTGCCCATCCTGGCTTAGGAGTAAGCCTGAATTCTGTTACATGCCTCGGTTTGAGTTAGTACTTGAGCTTGTTAATTGACCAGAAATGATATATTTATGATAATAACAGACCCTCCCCCAAGAAGCACCTTCTAACCAGAGTTAGATTCTAAGCCCATCTTTCCCGTTGACTTACCTGGTTGACCCTGGCAACAGCTCCTTGCCCCTTTGGACCTTAATCCCCTCCTCTACAATGTGAGTTGACCGCATTTGATTACCAGCAGCGTTTCTTTCAGCTGTAAGGAGTTTGTGGACCATTATAGCCACACATGTTACAAATTACCAAATATGTTTTTACATAGAATACTATTTTTTACTCACCTAATAAATATACTCTTCTTAGAAATGTTGCATGATATTTTATTAGTAGTGTTAAAAACATGCATAAGGAATAGAAAGGCTGTAAACTAAGATATGGTTTGGATATGGTTGTTCAGAACTGAAATAAAATATATGATTTCATTTTCAAGCTCTCATAAATGATGGCTATGAGAATCTGAGCTGTTTTCTACATCGGGGCATAGTTTATGCACATCTAAAACTTTGGTTGCTGGCAATTTGTGACTTTGAAACTGTCATTTCTCTAGAAAGGTATGTTTTTTTTCACATTGATTTTTCACATTGATTTCACATTGATTTTCACGTTTGTGTAAAAGTAAGAAAGATTTTAAAAAATGAAAGAAGAAGCCTCCCCCAATACTGATGGGTTATTTTAAAATGCGATAATTGTTAAATTGTCCTAGAATTATAATACCACTAAAAATAAGATTATCACTAACATAAGTTGTTTGTTTCAGGTGCTTTTGTAATTTCAGAGGTTGAATGGGTTTGAGGAGTTAAGTCCATGGGTAATAAGGGAGGAGTTTGGTTATATCTAGACTAGAGCTTTTAGAAGTTAAGCTACTAGAAAATCTTCATCAGGTTTTAAAATAATGATAAAACATTCTGCTTGATAGATCACTGGCATGCAGAAACGCAACTCGGTGGAAGGGAGCCCTCTATTTTACACTAACTTCATTTTGTTTAGTAAAGCAGAAGAAAAAAAAATCAATACCATTGAAACTATAGATTCAGGAAGAAATACAGACGGAAAGTTAAACACATCAGTCAGAATGCAGGCTGTAAAACACAGAATTTAATTAAAACAGTTCCCCTCCTTTCCAATGAAGCATTCATCAAGATGAAAGTTGACAGAAAGAGTCACAAATCATGCTAATTCCATGCCAACCAGCAGACTGTTTACTTAGCGATCTGAGGTAGACTTTGAACTTGACTTGGGAAAGTCATGAAAGAGCTTCATGATGACCACGGTGGTTTTGTTTTGGTCAGTTTTGAGGCATGGAGGAAAAGAAGTTTCCGGTGGAAAGAATCACTGGAAACTTTTGTGTGATAGAAAATTTAATGTCTAGGAATTGGTCAGGGCTTCCATCAGGTTGGGTGACTGGATGTGTGGTTTCCTCATTTTGAAATAGAAAGTATTGAACAAGGTAATGTCTAAGGTCATTTCTATACTGAAAGTTATTTGATTCTAAGAGAGAAAAACAATATTTATTTGATATAGAAAAGCAGTGGTGTTAATATCAGTGTGAAGAGGTCTCTTAACCCCAAGCCAACAAGCCATAGAGTTTTACTGCTTTTCGCTGTTAATCATGGCCTTAAAGCAAAGACTTCTGAGTTGAGGAAAACCAAGCTTCTAATTCAAAATAACTAAAGATTAAGTGAGGGAAGAGTAAAGCATTACCAGGAATGGAGACTTCACAAAATCTGTTTCTGGTACAGACTCTACAATTATTAATTCCTTACCAAGGATTTTATTAGGAGTGTTTATAATGTTTTTTCTTTGTGTGTGTGGTACTGGGGATTGAATGAACCTAAGACCTTTGCACTGAACCTTATTCCCAATTCTTTTAATTTTTTATTTTGAGACAGGGTCTTGCTAAGTTGCTTAATTGCCCAGGCCAGGTTTGAACTCAATATCTTCCTGCCTCAACCACCCAGACAACTGGGAGTAAAGTCTTTCTCTACCATACCCAGCTGGGTGCTTATAACTTCTAACAGAGTAGTTAACAAATTTATATTGGGATTAGTAAGACATGTAAAATGCTGTGCTGTATATCAATGCATATATTTTATTAAGTTCGTTCATAATTGTAGAACATCTGAAATAATTAAAAATGTCTAACAAGATTTTTCTTTCTCTTTTTAGAACTTCTACTTTGGCTTATGTAAATATTGGCCTCATACATATGTTACATCTGGATAATTACACTGAAGCCATTTGGCACTTTTCTGAGGCTATTAGAGTTGATCCTTTGTATATTCAGAGTTATATGTGTAGAGCAGAAACCTATTATAAGGTATTTAAAGTTTGAGACTATTGAATTTTAGAAATGTTTCAATTTTCTGGATATTTGCTCAACTTTTAATACACTAATGTATTTTTTTAGCTAACTATAGAGGCTAATGAATTTGTGAGAAATAAGTGTTTAACAGAATACTTAACTCTACTTACAACGCCTCTATTTATGAGGAAATAGCGTATTACTTTCATTTTTAAAATAATATAGTACCTGCTTTTTCCTTAGTACAGAAACTATATTCATTGTAAAATTTTTATTTATACAGATAAGAAGGAATAATACATATGTTTATGAAAATTAATAAATTTAAAAACTACCCATACTTTGTTCTCTATGGATCACTACTCCTAACATTTTGGAATTTATTGATATCTGTTGTGTGTGTTTGTGTGTGTATTGGTGAGTGTATAGGTTCATAGCATGGAATATGCATATAGAATGGTATTCTAACTATTATCTCCCTTAAATTTTGTTTAATTTTTACATATTGTTTAAATGTCTAAAAGATGTACTTTATCCTAATATGATAAATTCAGGCAGTTCAGTAGATAGTGAAAATCCTCTCCAATGCCAACCTCTCCAAATCTGACCTTAACCACTGTAAACCCTCTTCTCTATCCTTCCAACAGATACCACTTTCCACCAAGACATTGTAATTTCCAACTGCCCTCTCCAAGACACTGTAAATTATGACAGTGGCCTCTAGTCTTTTCGTTTCTGCTCTTTACTATTTTGATGGAATTGCAGCATGGCAGCCAAAAGGGGTCCAAGCAAAACATGTCATATTATTTTACTTATTTGCTCACAAACCTTCAACAGCTTCCTTTTGCCATTAGAATGAAAGCCAAAGTCTACAAAAGCTAGAGGCCTACAAGATCCCATAGAAGATTCATTGCCTTTTTGCTCTTGTTTCTTAAATATCCTCTGGATAGATTGTTTGAGTCAGTATAGCAAAGGTTATGCTTGGGTAGAAAACAACTTCAGAATCCCTGTATTAAAACACCAAGACACATTTTGGGCTCACACTACATGTCCATTGAAGATTGCCTGGATTTTCTGCTCTCCATTCCGATGGGATTGGAGTCCCATTCAAATTTTTAGCTTCTGGATAATGGAGGTAGAAGATGGAGGGCAGGTTCAGTGTTGTTCTCAGGGAAGATTTTTTTCTTCACTCCTGTTGGGGAAGATGCGGATATTTATAGAGCATGGCTCTTTTGCTTAGCCTACCACTGTTGATGAAGCTCAGGCCCTTTGAGGAGTTGGTGTTCCCTCTGAACACACGCAGAAACCAAAATACCAGCATGATAGTAGGGTGTAAGGATGTATATTCAGAAACTCTTTTCTGTTCAGAGAGGCAAAAATGTTCATACAATGTTGGTTGAATACATTGTGGTATATTCACATTATGGAACATAACAGTCAATAAAAAGAATAAATAGAACTCAGCCAGCTGACTTGGGGGAATTTCCATGAGATATTTTTGGATAAAAAATGAATGTGAGTGTGTATAATGATGTCATGAAAATAGATCAATTAAAAACAATTAAAATCAAGCCTTGTGTGTGTGTGCATATATATATATATATATATATATATATATATATATATATATATATATAGCCTCCACAGTGAATCTACTGTAAAACTTACTGGAGAATCCCAGCCCTGAGAAGCTGTCTATTCAAAATGAGCCTCCATCTGTCCCAGACCAGGGTTTCCTCAATGCAGAGAAATGGCTGGTGGGTAGCACAGGTGCAGCAGTGGGGCATATGACTAGATAGTTTAGTTGAACAAACTTGAGCTAGGGCAGCTTAAGAAGGAACAGCCCTGAGAAATTCTTGAATTTGTTTAAACAAATCTCAAACTTTACCATTTTACTATTTCCTGTAAACAGTTTGAGCTATTTCTACAGGTATGGCCTACTCCCATGCACAAATTAATTTTGGGAATTCTCTTTTCTGCCTCAGGTTAATTTTTTGGGGGGAGTCTGTGTCATGCTCCTTTGGTAGTATCTACAATGGCAGTTAATTATGCCCCCAAATATGTACAAATTCAGATTATGTTTCTGTGACCAGTATTAAGGAAAGAATTAATGCTTATTTTTTGTTACATATTATTATTATTATTATTTTTTTTGTACCAGGAATAGAACGCAGGACTTTGAGCTTGCCAGACAGGTGCTGTGCCTCTGAGCTATATACCCAGCCTTTTTCATTACATACTGATGTTCAGCATATCTCTCTTGGCATTATTATTTTTTGTTTTATTTTACCCATTCATTTACTTAGTTTTGGAGCAAGCCTGCTCTTCCTCCCTGATTTTTAAGTAGAATTGGCTTAAATTTTTTATATTAATTTTTCACTGCTAGCTTATTAATATAAGTGAAGTTTTATAATACAGGAGTTACAGTTCAGGGAGAAAAACTGAAAAGTTAAATGAAAAAGGAAATCATACAATTCAGAATATGTGACACAATTACATTAGTGTAAGATTATATATGTGTGGATTTGTATAAATATTCTTCATACTTAAGTATGTTTTTAAAAAACCAAAAGACTCTGCATCATAAACATTTCTTTTACTTCTTTATATCCCTTTTATTGATGATTGTTAAGAAAGTCATGCAAAATTTCTGCAGCAGAGGGTGAAGGGATGAACGTCAGAAAGGAAACAGTTGGCTTCATTAGAACCTAAGCTTCTGTTTCTCATTCAACAGTTGCATAGATGGAAGAGTGCAGTGAACGAGTTATCTCGTGCTATCCATCTTCAGCCAGATGGAATTCAATTATATATAATAAGGTATGAGCACAGTAGTTGAATTCTGTTCAGGATAACTTAGCATCTGAGCAAGCTGTTGGGACCTTTAGTTCTCTCTTAATTCTCTCAGACTCTTCATTGTACATTTAACCTCAAGCAATGGCATGCCTGCCCTCAACCAAAGGTCTTAGCTTTGTTAAGCTTTAAGATAACTTTTTTATAAAATAACCAGGTCTTTTCCTTTGCTTTGTCTTGCATCAAAACACAACTGCTTACTGTTTAAGTCTTTAAGGCCTGTCTACATTATTAGTTATATAGTTGTCACATATCTGATGAGAGTAAGTTATTACATTTTGAACAGCTGTTTTGATTATGTCCACAAAGGTACGAAGCATAACTCCTAGCTAATTCAGTGGGAAAAAAAGACACATAGAATTGTATTTTAAATGTAGTAGAGCTTGCTATAAATGAACTCTTTGCAAGTAATAACTACTAAAAACATACTCTCTAAGGATGTTCAGAAAATAAAATGGAACAGTGGTTTCTGGAAAGGGTTGTTTTTGTTTGAACCACATTTTTGCAACTTACGTAAGTACTTACTCCTTTTTATGGTCCTTTATTTTAAAATAATTTCTTAACAATAAAGTGTACCATTTTAAATATAGATAGCTGCAAAAAAGATTTGCCTATTTTCTTTTTAACATTATGTGTCCTAAATTGTTTCACCACATCCCCATGTTAATTTTCACATTGCTATAAAATGCCTATAATTTTCAAACTGCTTTTTATGCATATCTAAAATATGAATACATGTATTATAATAATAAAATTTTAAGGCACTTATTATGAGAAACTTTATCTTAGAAAAATTATTTTATCTGCTTAGAATCAAACAACTATTATTTCTTCCAGAGGACAATATCTTCTTATGATGAAATGTTATGATCTTGCAAAGTTCACTATTTATCAAGTAGCAGAAATGAACAAAGGTAAATGTGATTAATGGAAAAATATAGTTTTGACTTAAATATACCTCCCTAAAGTTTTAATACTACTTGCAACAGCTATGTGCGAATAACATAAAGGCTTCTCTGGAATGACAAAGAGTTTGAAACTTCAGTTTCACATGTATGTAACCAATTGGTAAAATGATTCATAATACAGTGAATTTTGTGAGAGAGGTTATTAGAGGATTTCCGGGACATACAGTTTCACTGCTTTGATTTGTAATTGGAGTGTCTTAGTGTGTTCTGGTAGCAAATAAATTTTGGTATAATATTGATTTACTAATTCATATTATTAATGAATACTACTGAATTGCTTTACTTCCTTAAATAATTATTTTGTAGACCCTTGATATTTGGCAAAGGTATTGATAAACTCTTTTTTCGTTTTAGGTCTCATTGGGTTGAGTCCAATACAACAAGCACACATTTATTCATTCTGTGAAAACCATGAAAAGGCCATTCAGGTCTTGGATGGGATGTCATGGAGTAGATCAGAGATGACCATGTTTACGTTATTAGCAAAAGCCCAAATGAAGGCTAAGAAAATCAAGGTGAAAAGATTTCTGGCTAACCTTTGTCAAACCTAATGAAATTTATACATTGTACTTAGTATGACATTTAAATATTTTGTTACTCAGCTATACTGTTTACCTATGGTTGTATTTATTTATACCAGCATTTATTATACTATTTACTTATTCATTCTGCTATTAACTAACATTTGTGCTATTTTCTTTTTTTCCTGTTCAGAATATGGCTCCTCTAAATATTCTTATTTATGTCTTTTGTTAATATATGGTGTGGATTTTCAGGAAATATTCCTAGGAGGGGAATTGCTAGCCTGTAGAGAGTGTGACTATTTAACTTTCAAGAAAATGACACCGTATTCCACACAGTTGTACCAATTTACTCTCCCACCTGCAGTATGAGTGTTCTTGTTGCTCTGTTTCCTCTACTGTAAGTAGTGTGCCAGACTTTATTTTTGCCAGTTTGATGGAGAAAAACCAATGTCTCACTGTGTTCTTAATTCACATTTCTCAGTTTGAGTATCAGATTGAATGTCTGGTTATGTTTATCAGCTACTTATATTTCCTGTTCTACCAATTTCCTATACATTATATACATTTTTGTTTGCATTAATGATTGTAGACATTAAAAAAAATAAGTTCTATATACTATTCCTTGATTGTGTTTCATATATCTTCATATAATTTGTGGCTTGCTTTTTAATTGTCTTTTTGGGTCTCTTGATAAACAGATTCTCAATTTTAATGTAGTTGGCTATATCTATTTTTAGTTTCACTGACAAAGCTTTTTTAAAAACCATCTTTAAGAAGTTCTTTTCTGCACTAAGGTCAGTGAGATATTATCCTGTACTTTCTTTACTTTCTTGCTGTGCTTTTTATCTAAGGCTTTATTTAGGGTGAGTTTTTAAAAGTTGAAAAGATAAAAAATTAATTTTTAGCTGATACATAAAAGCATAAAATTGTACATATTGTGGATAACATGCAATGTTTTGATACATGAACGCATTGCATAATGTTCAAATCAGGTTAAACATTTATCTCCTCAAACGTGTTGTTTCTTCACAGTGAAAAGTTGCAAAAGCCTTTCTTCTAGCCTTTTGAGGTGTACAGACTTTACTGTGATGTCTGTCACCCTACTGTATGATAACACAGCAAAATTTCTTGCTCTTCTCTTAACTGTAATTTAGTACCCATTGATCGCCTTCTCTCACATTTTCAGCCAAACCCCTTTCCCTAGCCTTTGAGAACTACCATTCTCCTCTCCACTTCTAAGACACTAGTTATTTTAGATCCCACGTATGTGTGAGGTCATGCACTACTTGGTTTTCTGTGCCTGCATTTTTTCACTTAATGATCTCTGGTTCCATCTGTGTTGCTACAAAGGACAACATTTCATCTTTCTTCAGGCTGAATAGAAGTCCATTGTGTACATATGTCACATTTTCTTTATACACTTATTTGTTGATGGGCACTTGGATGATTTCCACTTCTCCGCTATTGTGAGTTTTACTACACTAAATATGGGAATACATATGTCGCATTGATGTATGGATTTCATTTCTTTTGGATGTACACCTAATAGTAGGATTGCTGATCATATGGTAATTCTATTGTTAATGCTTTGAGGAACCTCTATACTGTTCCTCCAACAGTACACAAAGGTTCCATTTAGCCCTTGCTAGTCCTTAGTCTTTTGGATAATAACCTTTTGCACTGATATGAAGTGATATCTCACTCTTTGGGTTTTTTGTTTGTTTGGTTTTGTTTTTTGAGATGGTGGTCTCAGTAAGTTTCTCCAGACTGGCTTCAAACTAGTGATCCTCTAGCCTCAGCCTCCAGCGTAGCTGAGATTCTGCACTCTTGGTCAGTTTTTCTATCACTGGCCCCAAAGTATAACATTTTGTTTATTATGACTTCCTTGTATGTCTTAGTATATGGTACAAGTCCCTACACCATTTTCTTCTCCAGAAAATCACTGGTTATTCTTGTGCCTTTACTCTGTCATAGACGCTTTACACTGGGGTTGTCAGGATCCATTAAAAACTCTAGTAGAATTTTGATTGAAAAAGTATATTGAATCTTTAGATATTTTAGACAGAATCAGTGACTTTTTGATATTGGGTTCCTTAGTTTATGATCATGACAGTATACCTCCCTGTTTATTGGACTTTAATTTTAAATAGATTTTAGATGGCTCTTCTTAGCTTAGTTTTTTCATAACTTTTGCCACTGTTGGTATCTTTTAAAACAGATTTCTGTTTGCTGGTAAGTTATAGAAGTGAAACTGATTTTTCACTGTCTACCAGCCATCTACCCTGCTAAACTTTATTATTAGTTCTTAAAATGTTATGGTCTGTTCTATAAAGATTTATTCCTTTTTCTGTCTTATGTGTTCTCTTCTTTAACATTGTCTATTTTTTGCTGGCAAAACAGTAGTGACTAAGAATAGTGGCAAAGATTCCCAGTACCAAAAAAAAAAAAAAAAAAAAAAAAAAGAAAAGAATAGTGGCAGAGAACATTTAAATATTTCACAATTTAAGTAGAATTTACTAAGAATTAAGTTTTCAATTGATTTTTGTAGATGTCTTAGACTAAATTAAGGTTAAATAGTTTTCTTTTTATTCTTGTTTACAATTACATCAAATTATTTGCCTTCAAATGTTGAAATGATTTTTTTTCTCCTTTAATGTGTTAGTTATATTATACTTCAGAGATTATTCAATGCCAGACCAAGCAGTCATTCATATTGTAAGTCAGCTTAATAATGCACTTCTGGTCTAACATAATCTTTTTTATACACTGCTGAATTTGGCTTGCATGTGAGGATCCCTGTAGTGATATTCATGAGTAGGATTGGCCTTGTTGGATTTTCTTCAAGTTCATAAATTCTTTAGCTGGGTCATCTTGTTTTCTGTGAAGAATCCTTTTACTTGAAGAAATTCCAACTACTTGTTTTCAAATTTTCCTAGTCATTCTTAATAGCTTCCTTTTGCTTCATCATCATAATTTCAACTTTATTTTAATAACATTTCATAAATATTGTATATTCTGTATCTGCAAATTCTAATTTCTGAGCAGTCAAAGTCCATTTTTTGCTGGGCTTGCCAAGTCTTACCCATATTGATTTCCCGCTTTCTGTGTTTAGGGTCTTTATTCCCAAGCTTTTTGCTTGATCTTAATCTATAGACATCCAAAGACCTGTGTTGAGAGTACTTTCCTCTACGCGGGGTGGGTCTCAGGTCTTTCAGATGAGCGGGAACATCAGTCTCTGGGATTCCTCTGCCTCCCCCAAGAACTCCTGTGCAGTGACTCCCTCTGTGTGCCAGACTCAAGGCCTCCTTCTAGTTGTTGGCCCACCTCATGGTATCTAGTTAGTAGTGCTGTTGTATACATCTGCTGTCAATGTAGCCCCTCCAGCCTCAGGTTTTGAGGTGTGTGTGTATCTCTAAGGAAATTTCTTTAGAAATGTGCAGTCAATCACATTGAGTCAGAAGTTCTAACTATGAAAACTATGAGTTGCTTGCTGTTCATATATGCATTGCTTTGCACTGTGAAATTCTGAGCAGTGGTTTGAGTGAAGAAGCATCATTAAGATGCTTGGGGCTACTCTTGTTGTAAAATCTTATCCATAAATGTTACAGTTTTTTACAGGGTAGAAGATTTGGATTGTCTTTTAGGAGCCATGAAAACATCTAGCTAGTGATGGGTAGATTTCATATCCATATTTAGGATCTATAGGTCTCATCTGTGTTTTTTGAAGTGACCTCAATAATGCAAAGCTGGGATGGAGAATAAATAATAACTAGATGTCATCTATTAAGCTACTAGCATGCTTAGGCAACTGAGGGTTGAGTGCTCATGTGGTATCATTTCATTTGTACATTATATTGTTTAAAATTTTCATCTCATTCACCGTTCAGGAATTTAAGTCCTTGGTTGAGACTCAGGGCTCTAGGCGTGGTATGTGTGGGTCCATGTGCAATTCTGCAGTGCCATTATTGAGCCACTGGCAAGTCCCTGAGTTCCCTAATTTTCTTTCTTTTTTTATTTTGGTATGGGGAGTCAAATTCAGGACCTCGTGCTTGCAGATAGGTGCTGTGCCACTGAGCTACATCCCTGGCCCTAATTTTCACTTTTCTTCAGGTTTCTGTGAAGATTAGATGAGCAAAGTCAAGTAACTTTTAAGCTTTAATACTCGGCATGTGGTAACCATTTAATGCCTGTGTTTTTCTTCTGTTGGTTTTAGGCTTCTTTATAGGTTTTATTCCATGAACATCTAATCATAAGTACTTTTTCTTGAAGTAAAATATACTTTGTTTTTTCCCCTTAGCTCTCCAGTTATCACCTTTTTCTCTATCTCTGGCATAGCCAAATCTTGGAAATTTTCTACATTCATCATCTTCACTTCCTTACTTGCTATTCATTCTACCACTGCCTACGGTTTGACTTCTATTAAGTTGTGGCAGACACATCATAAGGTCGCCCCCAACAAGCTATATCATTCATTGCATTATCTTAAGTGTGGGTGGGTTCTGTGACTTTCTTCTCCCCAGTGGACTCTGACAAAGGTGATGGATGTTGTGCACATGATCGTGCTACATTATGTAAGAGCCTTGCTGGTGGGGGAGGGAAAGAGGAAGAGAGATTCTCTGTTGGTCTTAAAGCAGCAAAGATCCTTAGTGTGAGCTGGCTGTGAAGAGGATCCCATGGCAGGGAAATGCTGTGGCCTGTGGAACATCGTGGAACTTCTAGCCAGTGATCAGTAAGCTCAGTCATACAGCCATGGGGAAATAAAATCTTCCAACAATGTAAATGACCTGGAAGAAGATTCATCCCTACTTGAGTCTCCTGATGAAGATGACACCAGTTAGTACCCCGACTGTGGCCTAAGGGACTCAAAGCAGCGGACAGAATTTATGAGAGGTTTTTTTTTTTTTTATCCTAAGTAATAGGTAACATACAGATTTTGTCACCACGAAGTGAGTAGCACTCTAATAAATACCTAAAAATGTGGCCGTAGCTCTGAAACCTAGCAGTGGGGCAGATGTTAGAAGATATTTGAGGAGTATGATAAGAAAGCTTAAATCACCTCAGACAGACCTTTAGTAGATATCTGGTCTTTAATAACACTGCCACTGAGAACTCAGAAGTGAATGAGGAACATATTACTGGAAATTGCAAGAAGAGAGTTTTTTTAGCATAGTGGTAGAAAATGTAGCAAAAATGTCTCCTGCAGTTATATAGAAAACAGAACTTGGGCTGGAGATGTAGCTCAGTGGCACAGTGCCTGCCTGGCAATCACAAGGTCCCGAGTTCAATTCCCAGCACCAAAAAGAAAAAGAAAACAGAACTAATAATCCAGGACCTTGCATGTGTAGTTAACGTACTTTCCAAGTTAAGTATCAAAAGCACTAGCAGGTTGAAGTGTGAGAGGAGATAAGAACTACTAAACAAAATAAGCCAGCACTTGGTGATAATTTTCAGTCTCTCTCACAGATGGCAAAAGATGATAAAATTAAGGTATCCACTATTGCTGGGTGTGTTGGTGCATGCCTGTCATCCTAGCACTTAGGAGGCTGAGGCAGGAGGATCGTCTTGAGTTTGAGCCCAGCCTAGTCTACACGGCCAAACACGAGAAAGATATTCACTGTAAGAAAGTTTGTTCTAGAGAAGCAGGCAAAGTGCAAGTGGACATCCTTTTGCTAACATCTCAGAGAGATCATAAAACTCAAGCATTCAGTCACACTGCTCCCTATTGAGAGATTAAGGATATTATTACTGATCTTAACCAAAGCAGAGGGCTGCCGAAAGAGTGAGAAGGTTGTCATCAGGCATCTCAGCAAGAGGCCAAGGCAGAAAAGGAATTTTCTTGCATAAAGTAGTAGATGTGGCTTTTGTTTAATGGAGAAAATTAATGCCTGTGAAATACATGAAAAATCTCCAAAGTTTGTAAGGAAATGATTTTTTTTTTTTTAAGAAAACCAGCTTGGAATAAAGGAGATAAAAGTACAAAAGGAAAAGCTGTCAGCCTTCCAAATTATACTGGCAGGAAAGAGCTTAACAGAACAACTCAGCTGCAAACATGTTCAACATTTTATGTAAAAAGGGGTGTGACCCAGAGGGCAGGACCAAGAGCCCAGGGCATAGGACTGAGTCACAGAGAATTATTTATATGCCTTGCAGCCTACTCAAGAGACTGGATATTTGCTCAAATTGATGTCAGAGATGCAGTGGACTAGCAATGCCTTTTAATCCTTCATCTTCCCTTTTTATTTCAGTTTATTAGTACACATTTGCAGTACATAATTTTTTGCATTCCTTGTGTGAAGGTGGTGCATGCATGTAACACATCTTAATTTCTCTTTTTGTCCTCTTTTTGAATCAAAATCTCTGTGGATATAACTTGCACCTGTCCCACCGTTCTATTTTGGGTTTTTAGGGGGGAGATAAATTGTCTATTCAGTTGTACAGGGCCAAAGATGGAGAAGAATTATGCTCCAGGAGTGGTATTTAGTAGATTTACTCAAAGGACTCCTCCATACTTGGACCTGATTTAAATGATGAGATTTTGGACTTGAGCTGATGAAGTAATGAGATGAGACTTTCGGAGACCCTGGAATGGAAGAATGTACTTGCATAAGGCAGAGATATGGAGCCATTAGAGCCAGGGCATGGATTATAGCAGACATCCAAAAGTTACCCTCAAATGAATCACACCCTGTGTAATTTCCATCCCCGTGAATATGGGCAAGACATTGGACCTGCTTCTAACCAGTATAATGTGCAAAGTGAATGAGAGGCCACTACTTTGATTATGCTGCGTTACATAAGACTATGTCATAGCAGACTGGAGAGAAAGACTCTCGGGCTGGCCTGGAAGGAGAAACCTGTGTGCTGTGACTGTAGAGAGAGTCGTGTGAGTTGAGGGAGGAACTGCAGTAGCCAACAGCTAACAAGAAGATGATGCTCTTAGCTCTGGGAAATGAGCACCAACTTATTAAAATTTCAAGGAAATGACCTTTGCCAGCAATAGGAATGAAGTTAGAAGCTGTTTCCTCCCCAGTCAAATTTCTCCCCAGAGGAGAACGCGGCTCAACTGAAACCCAAACTACTGCTTTGTGGGACAGGGCAGGTGACAGAGCTAAGCCATTCTTATCTCCTGACCTGTGGAAACTGTGAGAGAATAGATGTGTGTTACTTTAATCTGTCAACTTTGTGATAACTAGAGTTGCCACAATACAGAATGACTACACCCTGGTTTGAAATGCAGTGCTCTTGTTGTTTTCATGGATGACTTCCTTATTGCAAATGCGGAGGTGATTTCTCGCTATATATGTCATTGCTTATTTCCTGTCCATAATGAAAGCTGTTGATCTCTCACAGAAATGCTTCTTTCTTACTGTTTTTCCTCCCCTTGTCCCAACTCCTGTTGCCATAGTTGGAAGTCTGGCATCATCCTTGACTCTCTTCCAGTCTCCATCCCCATCCCTCTCTCCACATGGATCTCTATCTATCTATCTATCTATCTATCTATCTATCTATCTATCTATCTATCTATATCTCCCTCCTCCAAGTTTTTGTCCTCAGCAGCGACGGTACTTCCAGCTCTCCCTGCGAAGACTTTGTAGAGTAGCAAAAGAGTAAAGAGATGGAAGAAGCGGGAGGAAGCGAGATGGACTCACTTTAATTTAAATATGATGGAAGGCTGGAATAAACTCAAGTCTTTATGGACTCGAGATAGTGAAGGGCCAGAGGTCCAAAAAAGGAAGGAAAAATAAATGCTGATCAGATGGGGCACATAAGTTGGGGCTCAGGGAGTGAGCTCTGAAAAGGAGAAGAAAGGAGGATATTTGAAAGTGACGGAGAAAAAAGTGAGAATGGATGAACACATTGACATACTTAAAAGTAAAAAAAGAGAAATTGGGACTGAAGCTAATCCAGTTTTCAGTGGCCAGGTCATGTGCAGAGTGAGGACGAAAGGATGGGCCACGAGGTGCTGCAAACGCGTAGAGTGAAAGCGGAAGCAAAGCGGCAGAGGCACCTTGCATTCGCCAGCGAAAGCTCATGGTTGCATCAGCGAGTTAAGACAGTTAAGAGAATGGGACAGCAATAAGCATGTACATTTTGGTAAACATATATGTATTGATTCATTAGTATTAAATGTAATTTCTATTTGGAAAATTCAATTTTTTATTATTGAGTTTCCCATCCAAGTACGAACTAGGCCCGACCCTGCTTAGCTTCCAAGATCAGTCAAGATTGGGTGCATTCAGGGTGGTATGGCCATAGACAAATCTTATATTTCTTTTTTTTTTGGTACCAAGAATCGAACTCAGGACCTTGTGCTTGCTGGGCAAGCACTGTGCCACTGAGCTACATCCTCAGCCCATGTTATTGAGTTTCAATTACTTTGAGAAATTCAAATAGGTGATTTTAGGTGGTGGTGTATTTTCTGGTACCAATAGAACTGCATTTAGAGCACAGCGGGACAAAATAATGGTTGATTAAAATATGCCAGACACCATCAATGTTTTTATTACTACTTAATAGCTTTCCAGTGTTCCAGTCAGGGAATTTACTAGTAAATTGGTAATAAACTAATCTATAAATTGAAATTTGATTTAAGAATATACCCTTTAGAATTTAGGACTTATATCTCCAAAGATCCAGGTGTGTGAAACTGGTTGAGTTTCAGTTTATAGGTGAGGCACCTGGGTGAAACCTGCTGAGATCACGTTGTGGAACTGAGTCCTTTTCTTGTACTGTACAGACAAGATTTAAGACCTTCCCAGATCTGTGTGCACTTGGGTGAACCGAGTATAGCTGCTGTGTTTAACATTTAAAACTTTCATGTTAAATAAATAGTAGGGAAAAAAAAAAAAAAACGTTCTCACCCTCTTTCTCTTTTTTTTGTCATTATAGGAAGCTGTGAGAATGTTTAAGAAGGCCTTAGAAGTCTTTTCGAATTCTAACAAAGGACCCAATGCCGTAGCTCTTTCAATAGACTGTCTACATAACTTAGGTCTTTGTTACATGGTGGAAGGCAACTTGCAAATGGTATTTTAAGTCTTGAGAAGCATAGGTTGTTTGTGATTTTAGAAACTGGTTGCTTGCTTTCATTTCTATTTTTATGGTACCTGTAGAGTCCAAGGTGGCCAAAACTGCTTACCAAGTGTGGCTTAGTATAGTCAGCTCACATCTGAAATTCCCATTTATTATTTCATTTAGTAAGCCTATTTTATTTAATGTTAGTCTGTCAGCAGTGTTCTAAAGACTAATACATGTTTCCCACTAAAACAAAAATCTAACTGTAGGAAGTTATTGTATCAAAATAATTTTATCATATTAATATGACTGTTAAATAGTAAGTAGTTTAAATTGAGCAGTTGATGTTTTGTAGAAAAAGATGGGAAATGATTAGAACACTCTTTGCTCTTCCTGGTGATTGAATAGTTAAAATCAGATTGAAATTGGTTTTTAAAATGAAAATCAGTTGATTAAGTTACATATTCATCCAGTCGCTATTTTACATACTTCAGAATTGTCACTAATATGACAAACATGTAGAATGACTGATATTATCCAATGGCTAGTGTTACATATGACACACACATACACACACACATACACACACACACACACACACACTGAAGTCTTTATATCATGAAGTAGACAATGTCTTAAAATTGGATTTTCATAACCTAGAAAAAGAATTGCCTTGATTACTTGTCCACTGAGAAATTCTAGTAACTATCAAATTAATTACAATCTTTTCCATGGTTTTAGTCATTTTGGGTAACCAGAGCAAACTTAGCTTTGGTTTTATAATAGGAAAAAATTTGTAGTTCTGTTCATCTAAAATTTCATGACCAAGTATCTGCTATAGTTTTTGAATTATCAGGGAAAATAAATTTTCCTGATTGTGATTGTTTTTAAGAAATAAAACTCAAAGAATAACGATTAAAATTACACCCCAAGAGCATTGTAACCCAGTAACATGAATTATTCAGACTTAATCTGGAAATAAGGGGCCTTTGGTTATGATAATTACCCTGGCTTGTTTCTCAGGACTACTTTTGTTTGACTCACAAAGTTCATTAGGAGCATGCATTAAAATAGAGAGAAATTTTTCAATAATAGTCACATAATTATAATTTATTAACCTATTAAAATAATACATTTTGTCACTAAGTGGTGTGCTCTAACTACATGCTTCTCTAGGCTTTTGATTATTTTACAAAAGCTGTGAGAGCGAATCCGGATTTTGCAGAAGGCTTCTATCAACGAGGGCTTTGTAAAGTAAAACTCCAGAAGGATAACTCGATTCTGGATTTTAATCGTGCGATTGCTCTCAATCCGAAACATTTCCAGGTATTTTAATTTAAATGATATTAGTGATTCTGAGAGTGTGTTAATTTTGGTAAAATTTTAAATCTTTTATATGCTGTTCCCATTCGCTAGCAACAACTACTACTACTGATTACTACTATTTTCCAACTAACTGTATTTTGATGATCCAGGTAACTGTATTTCTCCTTGAACTAAAGGTGTTATTTTCAACAGGGATATTATGTTCATGAAAGTGCTTTGCGAATTGTGACTGTGTAAATATTGCTAATATGTGAACTTAGCTATTAATAATTTTAATTTATTTAGTTGTTAATTTTACTTATGTCTTGTTTTGACATTATATGGATTTCTGACTTTTAATAGACTGTAGGCACAATGTAAGTTTTAATGAGGAAAGCCTGACTTGATCCTGATTTTAAAATCCTATGAAGTTTGAATCGATTAAATGTTAGATAATTTTAAGGCATTATATAATATTAATGTAGTGATACAAGGTGAGGCCTTTTTTTAATGGAAGGTGTACACAGAAGCAAGTAAAGTGAAGAATTATGATGTCTACAAGCATTTTCTAATACTTTGGGAAATAAAATAAAACAAATATTGCAAGCAAAATGCTAATGACTATGGAATCCAGGTAGTAGGTATATGAGTGTTTTACTGCTTTTCATTCTATATATTTGAAATTTTTCTAATAAAAGAGAGTGGGGGAAAATATATTTTAATATCATCGTTGGATTGCCTAGATTCATTTAAAGTTCCATAAATTTTGATAGAACTGTTGGTGTTGCTAAACTGTGTATTCCTGACTTCTCTTTTTTTAAAAAGGCATATTTAAGCAGAGTAGCCTTCTATGGCTTAAAAGGCAGATACTCAAAAGCAATTTTGAACTGTAATGAGGCCATCAGAATTTACCCTCAGAGTGTGCGTGCCTATCTCTACAGAGGAGTTCTCAAGTACTACAACAAGGTAGGCCACGTCCTTCTGCTTTACTGAACTCAGAGACTTGTGGAGTCTCTAGATTCTAAGTAAGGATTCACTTTTTTCTTTTTTTCTGTGATAGGAGAATCACTGTAGTATGAAGCTCTCCACGTAGAATATTTTCCCACAGTGCATCAAAGAGGATTTCAATTTGCGTTTTTTCACAAAATAGTGATTTTTTTCTTTTACATTTTAAATAACATTAAAAAACTAATAACTATTTCATTATAGACAACTTAGAAAATATAGAAGGGAATAAAGCATTATTATTTTACCATCAAATTATAATTGAGAGTGTTTTGGTGTTTTTTTTGGTACAGAGAATCAAACTCAGAACCTTGCACTTGCCAAGTAGACACTTGTGCCATTGAGCTATATCCTTAGCCATGTAGAGTATTTTGGAATATTTAAATTTAATTTAATTTAATTTTTTTTTATTTTAAAAATAAAAGGAGGAAAATATTAACAGACAGTCGACATTTTACAAAATAGCAAAGGAACAGTACAGACAGTACAGAGTTACAAACAGAGTGGTAGGGAATTAACAATGCTTGTTGTATTACATATTGATATCTTCAAAGTGGTTTCTCATGAATACAGATATAGACATACAAAGCTGATCAACCAAGGACTCATTGACAGTTTCTTTCAGCAAAGAAATACAAGACAGTAGAACAGCCATGTTAACTATCCTGCATATACATACATACAAATTTTCTCCTTCTTTGCCTTCTCTTTTCCCATATCCCAGTTATCCTTTACCTTTGAGTGCTTTCCTATCAATTTACAATGTCTATCATATCTCCTAGTTTAAATTAATTCTTTCAGGCTTTACACTAGAGAAACAATGCGATGTTTGCACATGTATGTTTGATTTATTTCACTTATGATTATGGTCTCTAGTTGAGACCATTTACCTATAAAAGCCTCAAGTTTATCTTTCTTTACAGCTGAGTAATATTCCATTATATAAAACTACCACAATTTTCTGATCCAATCCTCAGTGGATGGACATTTGGGTTGCTTCCACATTTTAGCAATTACAAATTGTGCTACTATGAACATAGGTGCACATACATCACTGTGATATGATGTATTTAGATCTTCTGGGAAAATACCCAGCAGGGGGATAGCTGGGTTGAATGGGACCTCTAGATCCAAAAATGGGCAGCTGAGATGAACACACATTTCTCAGACAAGGAGATACAAACGGCAAATAAATATATGAGAAAATGTTCAACATCATTAGTCATTCGAGAAATGCAAATTAAAGCACTGAGATTCCACCTTACCCCAGTAAGAATGGCTAGCATTAAGAAATCAACCAATAACATATGCTGGCGAGGCTGTGGAGAAATAGGAACCCTTCTCCACTGCTGGTGGGAATGCAGACTGGTGAAACCACTGTGGAAATCAGTTTGGAGATTCCTTAAATTTAATTTTAAAAAAATTTTTCCTGATACTATATGCATGGGACTATGCTACTTAATGTAATTTGTGTTGTGCCCTGCTTTTAATGTTTAATCTTTGAAGATACCATTTCTTTGAGGGCATAATATTACATCATCATTTATTTGGATCCCTTGATTGTTGGAAAATTGGGATGTTCTAAATTTTTTAATATTTCACTATTTTAAGTAATGCAATACAGTAATACATGACTGAAAACAAATCCTTGCTAGAGCTTATGACTGGTTCCTAAACAGAAGTTAATTGGTGTGACCGGTGCCACTGGTATCTGGTGCTGCATGGAATGCTTTGTTTCTCTCTACTTTTCTTTTCTGACTTCTCTTTGTAGCTATTTCATGTGAAATATTTTGCAAATAACTCTAAATCAAAGGTAAGACCTTGTATTATGTACTCATTCCATGAAAATTTCTATCTATAGAAAAGATGATAAAGGTATCAGAATAATCAGTGAGGAAGCAAAAGAGAATGTGAGTGAAAAACATGATTATGTGATATGACAATATGAGTGACCGAAGCAGGCTCTGGATTAATATGAGCTGATTCTCTTTTACCAATCAGTATAATTTTCTCCATGTCATATAACACTGATAATAAAATAATTTGCTAGAGTTGTTGATATATTCGATTTTATTTATAGATGAAAGAAACTGTAAATATTCCTACCATAAAATCTTAACTCTGAAAGATTAGTTTAATTGTCTTCAATTTACAGATGATATACAAAATATAAGTCTGCCCAAACTATGTAGAATTAATATTCTATTATACAATTACATTTCAGTGCATTATGATTTACCTTTCTCACTTAATTATCTTTTTCTTTGTAGAGTTACAAACTAGCGATTACAGATTTAACTACGGCTATCAACATGGACAAAAACAATTATGTAGCATTTTATAACAGAGCAATTTGTTACACCAAGATAAAGGAACTTCACATGGTAAGATGATTATTTTAATAAGCAAGTTTGAAGCATTTAAGAAACAATACGCATTCGGTGGCTTTTTGAGTTCAAAAAACAATCAGTAAGCAACATGTAGTAAAAAACATGTTAAAGCATTTGTCAATGTTTTAAAATACTTATAAAGTATTTTCTCTTTACTTCTCATATAATTTTTAAAAAGTAATTCTTCATGGAAATGCATACACATAAAACTTGAGAAACCAAATAACCATTTCAAGTAATATTTAGTGGTCACATCCTTTCTTATATAATTTCTATAATAAATCAAATGAAAAATTAATTTTATAATGCTTATGTATGTATTTAAAGGGGTGTATAAGTTAAAATACATCAAATAAGTATGATTTGAGGAAATAATCTGCTTCCTGTGCAGTCTGACAATGAGGATCACGAACAATATTGTTGCTTCACAATGTCAACTTTAGTGGAGCAGTTCATGGAGGCTTTTATAGTCCAGACACTATCCTTGCAGTAAGGAGTTAGGAGTCCACTTCTGGGTGCCTTGTATTTTGAAGGACTAATTATGGCTGCCGTGAATATTTTTCTCCATTTATCTTCATCTTTTCCCTGCTTGTGAAAACTCTCATTTCTATTTTCTAGTTTTCTGCCAGTTGTCTCACCCTTTGTCTCGGTGGTCATTTTGCAATGAGGATTTCTCTCTGCAGATGTCCTGGTCTGTAGGCTTAGTGTTCTCTCTGACTTTCTTGCTTTTCTTTTTCTGATATCCAGTGGTCTCCCCCTGCTCATCTACCCCTTCTATAGTAAATGAAGCATTTCTTTAAGTTCTTCACATTCCCACTGTTCCATGTAGGTATACTCGCTCACTGTGAAACTTATTTAAATCTGTTTAGACATTTAGGAATTTAGACATCTATGAGCTTTGTAGGGAAGAAGTTGAGGAACAAATTCCACCTAAAAGGATGCAAAGTCCCTGGTAGCCAGAGTGTTGGAATTTCCTCCAGAATTGTTAACAAATGAATAACTAAGCTTTCTAACAAGGGGGTTGTTAAGATCTAATGAGCTAATTAAAAGATCATTTTTCAGTGACCTGCTCAGCAGGTGCTTTGACCGTCCCTCCCTACCCCTCTTCCTGTCAGGAAGGTAAGTAACCCTGAAGTTCAAAACAGTGGCTGGGTGGGGAAGCAATTGTCACATTTTTATCATCTCAGATATATAAAATAGTCAATTCCCTGTTAATAGAGAAAACTCAAAACTGCCTGAAAAAAAAGAGACCAAATTAGAATAACAATATATTGATGATTTTGAGCTGCTAGGACCCCCATATATTTAATCTGCTCATTTTCCAGACAAGGAAGTGGAAGCAGGGGAGAGGTCAGGAAACTCTTCCAAGTCACATAGGGAGTTAGAGACCTGTATTGACATTCACAGATTTGTTTGCTTCTGAGTTAACAGTATTTAGGCAGTTTAGTAAAATCATGTGACCTCCAGCACGTGGGACGGATGCTATTTACAGTATCACTTCCTCCTTTTTTGCCTACCCTTTCCAGTTTCTTAGCACTCTTGCCATCACTAGGCTGAGAAAAATCAAGTGTCTTTAAAACAAAAATTACACTTAAGTGTTCTCCCAGATATGGTTTCCTAAACAACTAAGCAGAAGCGAATCCTGATTCTACAGTTCTATATTAATAAAAATCATTAATAGTTACTACATGTTTAGAGTACTGTGTGGCAAGCATGGGACTAAATGCTTTAGCAACAAGCACTCAAAATATTTCTAAGTGGACTCTTAGAAAAATACGTTGAATTTTCAACATGCCCCTTTCACAGTTGAGGCAAATGAGGCTTAGGGTTAAGTAACTTTTCCCCAACTGAGAAACTGGTAACAGTAGAGGATGGTACAAATCCGGGAAAGACCACTCGTCCTCCTAAAACCTGTGCCTGCCCCTCCAGTTGACCTGCGTAAAATCTCACTTCCTAGCATTAGTTTCTTCTTATGCCACATATTCAGCTGCTTACTGAAATCTAAGTTACCCTACAGGTTTTACATTCTCTGCTTCTGTAAAAGGAAAGGCCAGACACTTTGAAACTAAATTTCTAGATTTTTAAAAACCATTATGAATCTCTTGTACAGTGCTGGCAATGTTTACTTATAATTACTGCCATAGTATACATATAGGATCTTCAACCGCACAGTGCAATATTTTTAGATACTTGGGTGCCCAATCAGGAAATACTAGAGCAGGAAAAAATGAGCAAAAAAGCAAAATATTATTTATTTGCCATTTTCAGCCAGCAAGTGCTTCAGGTATATAAGACTTAGCTCTTTTTTATTTTAAAGATAATTGAAAAGAAAAAGAAATAAAAGAACAATAGCAAAATGCCAACAACATAGACAAAAATGAAACAGCAAAAACAATGATACAGGGTTTCAGAACAAAATGATAAGGGTTAACAGTGGTTGTTATATTACATATTTTTATCTTCATCGGAGCTGGTCAGATTACCAGCTATAAAAATGCAAGATTAATCAAACCACTAAACAGAATAAAAAATAAAAACAACAAAAAAACAATACAGAGTGTCACCCAACAAAATGCTAGAAATTCAACAATGGTTGTTATGTTGCATATTGTTGTCTTCAAATTAATTGTTCAGATTACCAGACATAAGCATGCAAAATTGGTCATATAAATAAATAAAGCATTAACTGTTCCTTTCAATAAACTATTAGACATCAGCAGTACAGCTATCCCAGCCATCCTTCTGTATACATATATATATTTCCCTTCCTTCTTTCTTTCCTTTTCTCCTTTCCCTAGTCCTAGTTGTTTCCTCTTGTGAGCAATTTCTTTCCCTTTCCTAACACTATTGTACATTTTGGGTTTTATTTACTCTCTCATGTTCTTACACTAGGGAGACAACATGATGTCTACACATGTGGGTCTGATTTATTTCACTTATGAGTATGGTCTCTACTTGCATCCATTTACCTATAAAAGCCTGGATTTTATCTTTTTTATAGCTGAGTAATACTCCATTGTAGAAAAATACCACATCTTTTTTATCCATTCCTTAGTTGATGGGTATTTGGGTTGTCTCCAGGATTTAGCTATGACAAATTGCACTGCTATAAATATGGGTGCACATATATTGCAGACTTGGCTCTTTTCTAATCAAACCATATGGTCCTTTTGGACACACCATTCCCTAGGAAAATAATTTCGAGGATTCAATTCTAGTCCAAATTTAAGATTCTCCCAGTATGTGGTGAAGAGAGTGGAGGTCAGCAAAACTTTGTTTATTCAGTGGATGGGAAAAGAAAAAGCTGAAGTGAAAGCAGGTCTTTTCAGTAGATCCCCAGCTTAAACCACTGCCTTTAGAAAGCAAGGACTATGCCTATCAAGACATTTTGAAATAATTTTCCTACAAGTGCTTATATCTTAGTTTCATTAAAGTAGATTTTCAGCAATTCATGATTCATTCACTTTGTAAAAACTGCCTATTTCATTCAGTGATGGTGCTTGTTCCTGGGTTTACAGCAATGAACAAAACAGATAAGCTCTGGCTCCATAGAGCTTAGAGTTTGGTGAAGAAGGCAATAAAACAATAAAAAGAAATTAAATTGTAAACAGGACTCAGTGCTCTGCTTTACTACCCACAGTTGCATGGTGAGACTGCTGAGTGAGGAAACAGGTGTTAAATCCCTCCTTGGAGCCCAGGCACCGATGGGCACGCACAGGGTGACTCACAAGTTGCACATGTTCCGCAAGCCTAGTGGACACCACTAACTAAAAAATAGCAGTATCCTTTCAAATCTTATGCACGATCATTTTGGTCCCAAATTATAAGTCAAGTTAAAGCACTTACTGTGAGTTCCAACACAAGCATAAACACGTTTGCCTATGGCTGGTGCCGTAAGGTTTTATAAGGTTGCATCTATGTTGCTAAGTGATTATTTTACTTTTAGGCATTAATAGATTTTGGAGTTGTGCTGCTCCTTGATGCTGGAGAAACTGTAACATTAAATACCTTCATTAATCGTGGACTCATCTACACAGAACTAGAGCAGTATGGCTTTGCATTAGAGGTGAGCCTTTCTTGTCACTGTATGAAAAAGAACCCACTGGATTTTCCCCACTCTCTTCTGAAAACGTCTCTGAACAAGTTTTTAGTGCTACCAAATAACAATATTATGGAGTGATAATTTTAGCAAGAATTATATTGAAATACTTCCAGTGACTAATAGAATCTGCAAAAAGTGTGCATTTTCACTTTATTTTTATCACAGATAAGTAGCCAGTACATAAAATTCTAATTTGATGAAAAATATTACCTCCAAAGGAAATAAACACAAAATTGAATTATTTGGCAAATGATTTGTGTATCATTTACTCTGCTGCCTAGTGGTCTTTCTTATTCATAATTTTCCTCTTTCCCCATTGAAAATATATCACAATAAATCTGCTACAAACAGGGCAGGAAATAATTGCTAAGGACAGTCTCTGGTGATAGGGTTCAAATTTAGGTGATAGGGTTTAAACAGGCATTCAAAATTGTAATAGGAATAAGTATGTGTAGTATATTGAAAAAACAGCTTGAAGTTTATTTCATTTTAAAAGAAACAAAATTCATAATTTTCATTTTAACTTAATTGTTATTATTTCTTTTACAGTAATTTGGAAGTAAAATCTAGAAAAAAGGCAAAAAGTAGCAATTTGAAATTTGCAGTTTTGTAATAGCAGTTTTGTGTCTTTAGTTCTGAGGAACTGCAATGTAACTTTATGTAGTCGAGCATTCATCTCCTATTCTTTCCATTTTCCAGTAGTCATCTTTTGAGATTCTATCCAACAAAATCACTTTCTAGGCAGTTTACACTATGATGAAATGTAATCCCAGCATTTGAATTCCTTCAGACTTCTTGATATATGGAAACATATCTTTGCAATATACTATCAGGGACCACCTCTGGTACAGACAACTAAAGGACTTTTCTGTTTGCTATAGACAAGAAAATTATGGAAATTTGGGCAATAGAATTGGGGTGGAGAAAGAGAAAAGCAGAAGTGCGGGGCAAATGACCCCAGCTGTTGGGGAGTTAAATACCTAACCTGTTTTACCTATCAGTTAAATAGTTAGCACTAAAGGGCAACATGAACTATACTGCACAACTGATACATACCAAGTTGGACAATTTACAGATAAGGAAACCGGCCTTCAAAATAGGTTACATAAGATCTTTCAACTAGCAAGTACCAGGGAAAAATCTGAATTGAGCTTTACTTGATTCCAGATGCTCTATGTTCCTTCAGTTAATGGACAGGAACTGAAGACGCCAAAGTAAAAAAGGCAGAGCTCTGGTCTTTGGCAGCTGATGGTCTAGTGAGAACCATTGTTGACCCTGTCTTTCTTCACACCCCACATCTATCTCATTAGCAAGTCCCAGTCAGCTATAGCACTAAAGCATATTTTGAGTTAAATCAGTTCTCATAATTGTGACTGCTATCATCTTCTCACCAGTAAGTACTGGGCCAGATCCAAACTTAGATCTCTAAACAGAATCCATGGGCATGGAATACTGCAGTAGTTTCCTAACCACCCTGACTGGTTCTACTCTCGCTCTTCTTCATGCTGCCCAGACATAAACCAGGTCGAGTTAAACCTCTGCTCAAAACTGCCAGTGTCTCCCATCATAATTTGACTGAAACCTGAACTCTTGACCATGACCTACCAAGAGCCTGCGTGATCTGACTGCTGTTCAGTTCTTTGATGGCATTGCTGTTCTCTCCCTATTCACTCCCCTCTGCCCTCCTGCTAGTCCGTGGCAAGGCCAGACTCCCTGCCTGCCTTCACGCAGGCTGTTCCCTGTGCGTACCGCGCTCTGCTCACTCATCTGTGTGCTTCACACCCTCTTTTCCTTCAAGCATCTGCTCAAAAGTGACTTCTTCAGTGAGGAATGAAATAGAAAAACCAAAATAGAATATTAAAAGAATCTGAAAATAAATCTGGAAAAAGGAAACAGAAACAGAGGAGGCAGGCAGAAAACAAATAGTAAGATAGTCAAGTGCCATCATGAGTAGTTATATTAAATGGGAATGGTCAGAAGATCCCAAATATATGATGAGAATGTCAGATGAGAAAGTTTAAAGATATGCATTACATTTTGGTCATAAGAAACACACTTTAAACATTATGACATAGGCAGATAAAAGCAAAAGGCTAGGAGACATGCCAGGAAAACACAAATTAAAAGCCAAAAAGTGATTTTTTTCCTCTGTGCAAAGTAAAATAATTAAGTAAAATTTAAAAATGATGTAGACTGAGGAAGAAGTAATGAAGGATGTAAGAAAGAATAATAAAGGTTGAGATGATAAAAGTAAAATCTTAAAACATACCCAAGAAAAAAGATTTTTGTGGGAGGGATTAATGGAGAAGTCCAGTCTCTAAGTGCTGAAACTATAACAGTGAACTGATAGTTGTGTGACCTTCAGCAAACACTAATCAGGAAACATTTAGACAGGAACTGTTTGAGGAGTTAATGATTAAGTGTGTCAGATTGAGAACATTTATCTCTTTTCCTTCTTAAAAACTTACTATGACAATAGTGAATTAAGGGGTCTGGGGTTTAGCTCAGTGGCACAGTGCCTGTCTGGCAAGCGCAACATTGTGAGTTCAATTCCCGGTACCGGAAAAACAAACAAACAAAAAAAAACCAAACAAACAAAAAACAAAATAGTAAATTAATAAAAAAGATTTAATTCCACAAGGTTAAGGGTAGTGGAGAAGCAATGTTTAAGCACTCTAAACAACCACTTTGGATTTTAATGTCCTAAATTTACATCTGAACAGGAAGCCAAGGATAAGATACTTCAGGGAAGTAAATTGATTCACAACAGACAAACAAAACTGTCAGAGATGTGTAGGAGTGCTGGGAGACAGGAAGTGTGTGGAATGGTGCTGTTAGCTTAATTCTATTCTATGCAGTAAGAAAACAGTTGCGAAGTTGTAATAATATACAATGCTCATGGTACTTAGACATTTGAAAGTAAATACCAGAAGAAATGATAGTAAGCTGAAAAATGATTGCTTTTTGGGAAGTTGGGACGTAAAGGAAGTAGAAAAGAGGGTCACTGTTTAGCATTTAAGTACTATTTTTTTCTTAGGTCTTATATACTGTGTACGGGGATTACCTTGACAAGAATAAAAATAAGCTAAAAAAATGTCTTTACAGTCAGGTTGCAAAATGTAGAGACAGTGCTGAGTATGCTTTCAGGGAGATTGGTGGTGGTGAGAACTAGAAAGCTGTGACCATGCGTGGTTTCCAGGGTGAGGAGGATTGAGTGAAACCTTGTTAGGTCAGGGCAGTGAGAGAGGATCCAGAAGATAGCAGATAGAGTAAGGTTCCAGAGGGGATGGAAGGAATGCTGTGATTCAGAAGATACCTGGCAGCGTGTTTGACTAGATTATATTTGATTAGATAATAAATTTTTTATTCAAATACTCCCATTTAGCATCAAAATATGCTTCATCAAATCTAAGCGGAGAACCTACATTCAGAGATTGGTCTGTGACCGATGCCTCTTGCTCTAGTAGCTCATGGAGTGCTTGACTGGACCCTACTGCTCCTTCTTTCACCCCTAGTAATAGCAGAAAGTTCATCCTGCTGCCCAGGACAACCAGCCTATTCCTGTATACAACCAGGGAGAGTGGGTGGAAGGAGGAGGAAGAGGAGGAGGAGGAGGAGGTGGGAGGGAGAGAGAGACTTGGTTATGGTCCACTCCTGTCTAGTTGGACATGCCTTTTCATACTGTAGAGGGCTGGCCACCTTCAGAAAGAGGGGGCTGGCGTGGTTTCCTTTTGCCCCTCCAGGAGAGGATGCGTATTCAACCTCTGTTTAACTTAGCCAAATGACATCACAATCAAAATTGCCTATGAATGTGGCTGCAGCAACAATCATCTGGGGAAAAAAGTCCTGTTTGTTCCTTCATAAATTATGGACTCTCACCTTATGAAGGCTGCTCTGCACAGTATAGCGATTACTAAATTTAATCTATATCTCATATGTGTAGTGTATTGCTGCTGATATGTTATTTGATTTATAGGTATTTCTTTAAATATTTTGTTAATTTAAGTTTAGTGATCTTATTTTACTTCAGGTCTAAATGTTTTCATAAGACTTTGAAAAGCATTAAGTGTTAGATCCTGTCTCTGCTTCCTAAGAGAGTACTGCGTTCTGGGTCACAGTGGCAGGATTTCCTGCAGACTCAGCGCTTTTAAACTGTTTTAAATAATCTGTTCCCCAGGGTCATTCCAGTCCATCCCAGATGACTTCCAAACTTCAGATATTAGGGTTAGAGTCTCCATTTGCCTGGTCCAGGAAGTCTTCTGGATCTCTGAACAAAATGGTACACTTCTGTCTAGAACTGTGGATTTTGGGAGGTGGGAGCAGCCTTAGCTGATCCACACACAAGGCCCAGTTATGCCCTTCTCCTGGCCTTGGTGACTGTTTTCTCAAAAGTCATATAACTGCAAAGATTCTTTCCAGGGAGTTTCCTTCTCTCTCTAGGTCGAAAGTCTCTGGTGGTGTTCATTGGGTATAAACAGTAAAAATCATGTAAATGAGATACTTTGCTATACATTGCAGGCATGGAGAAGTTTCCCCATCCGCTTTTGCTGTGCTGAATATCAAAGCCAGCGCCTTGCACATGCAAAGGGCATATGCTCTACTATTGGGCTGTATCCTAACTCCAAAATCCCTATTCTTGAAGTCAAGGCAAGTAGTACAAGAGTCTAAATAATTTACAGTGGTGGGGTTCATTGGCTCTATACATCCTCACTCGTGATCTTATGAGGAAAAAATAAAGTTTCCAGAAGGTATATATTATAGCCAAAGTTAGAAGTTTAAGAAAGCACATGTCATCAATATTATAAAATTAACAAAAACTTATAAACTTGTTTCAGGATTTTAAACAAGCTGCGTTGCTAAGCCAGACTAACGTCAGTCTTTTTCAAGCTACTGCCATGTGCCACCACAGGTATGGAGTTCAGTTGTTGTGGAAAGGGAAATCAAGTGGGACCATTTAGTTACAGTTCCGTGAAAAAGGCAGCAAGGGATGGAAGAGAGCGAGGAAAATGTGGATGTGACTGAGGCCTATACACTAGGCAATCTCCTTGGAAATACATAGAGTAAAATTATGCATAACTTGAAATATCTACACATAAACTAGTTTAATTTGCTCATAAAATGGAACTGATCTAAAACTAATTAAAACAATACCAAGAAATATCTGCAAAACAATAAAATCAATAAAAAGTACAATATTTAAAACATTATCTCTTTTTTATTATCTCTCTTTGAAATTGTTACACAAATGATTAAGTTATAGAGAGAACACTTATGTAAGTCTAAAATGCAGACCATCAGTTTAAAATACAAGCATAATTTAGCATATAGTATATAAAGTTTGCTAACCATAGTGTCTACATTTCTACATGGATATTCAATATCTGAAAATTAATTTTTGGTTATTTCAGGTTAAAAGCACAGAGATTCATTGTGCATGGATTTTAATATAAGATAAAATGTACTTGGCCAAGTAATGATTTATAGCATCACTTTTTTGTTTTAAAGAGAAAAAAACAGTAACAAAATAACAACAAAGACAAAAACAACAACACACACAAAAAAGCTACAGATTTCATTACTTTTTATAAAAGATACAATAGCAGTGAATTTATAGGAAGAAATTAGAATAGTTGATACATTATGCAGATAGGTTCTGCAAATACTCAGTTTAGAGAACATAATATGGTTTCAATTACTTAGGAACTTGACATTCTTTATTTTCCTTTGTAGGACATATATAGTACAGCTACATTTTCCTATGAGAGAGTTTGTTATTTTATGAACAAAGTCATATAGCAACTGGAACTTCTGAAGATGCCTTCATGTTAAAAGAAACATTCTCAGACCTTTTATTTTATATAGACAGCAAAATGTAATTATACAGTTGTCATTTTAATCCAGCAATTTTGTACAGTCCCTTTGTTTTTCTTAAGAAGGGAAAAAGGACACTGATCTGTTTGTTTTGTTGTGTGTGTGCTGACCCAAAATGTCTGAAGTCTTTGCATTGTGTTAAAACTAAAAACAGACTGCAACATCTCTCTTGCCCTCCTTCCTACGTCCAGCAACTATTAGAGTCAGTAAGTTTCCCAGTGTGTCCGTTCACAACCTCTTTTGTGAAATGTAATCGCTGGTTATATACAGCAGAGCCTCCTTAAACTGATACTGCTTTGCAATTTCAAATAACAGACCTCTGTCACCTGACTCAATCTCTATTGTTCTTAAATAAAAGTAGAATTTAAATTATCAGTAAAGCCCTGGTAACTCAGAGTCCCAATTCCATGTGTATTGAGTTTTTAACAGTTTTACTGAACTTAGCAATAAGAAATGTTTGGTGATTAGTTAAATTTCTTCAGGAAAAATACTTTTGCATTTCAAAGTAAGTGGTAATATACAAAGCAGCCATTTGTAACTGTGGGGATTCACTTTTGGTGTCTTATATAGAGTAAGGAAAGTAAAAAAAATTCATTTGGAAAATATTATAAGAGGAATAAATCTTTAAATTTTAGAGCTTTGCTCTTTGAACTCACGGGGCTGCAGACATCTGAAGTATCTTTTGTAGATCTCTGGTTCTCACTCTTGTGGTTGCTAGGAGACAGCATTCCTTAGGCTGAATATCCTACTTGTTGCCCAATTTAATCGCCCACAAGTTTATGGTAGAGTTAATTTTTAGATCTTTTTGCAGAAGCTACCTTCATGTTTTTCTTTTAAATGAGAGGTCACTCAGTTATATGTCCTATGCATTTCTCATTTCAATATGTTTATTTTGCCATGCTTAATATTTGCATAAAATACATTTTAATCTTTCACTTTGCAAGCCACATTCTTTAGTTTGGGGGAGGTATTTGTGATTTATTTGTACAACTCAGTGGGGCACATCTGGTAACGTATGTGATTAATGTGGTCAGTGCTGTAGGCTTTTGTGTCTGTATCCTTGTTGCCCACTCAGCGCATGATTCATCAAGAGTAGACACTGCAATGAGAATTAGACACCTTCTTTGAGTGAGCACATTGCTTTAGGTTGATGCAGACACACATTTTATTTAAAAACCCTTTATATACTTTTATACTTGTGATAACAGATGCTCAACTGTTTATAGTTAGTGAACATGTACATTGATGCTGTGTAGAATTCTGCTATGCTTTTCCATTGGCCAACTGCCATAGGATGACTGAACAAGAGCATCAACCTAAGGGACACTGAGAGACACATCTCCAGAAAAATAAAATTGATGTTTCTACAATGGTCTTTCTTTAGTTTGTTTCCTCATTCATTGGTGTTAGAACATGAGGAGTCTCTCTCTTCAGATCTGTCACCTCTCTGGAGTTGATTTTAGTCATCACTAACTTTGAGGTACTTGCCAAGTGGCTTTCCAGATCCATTTCCAGCTTTAGGGTGTAATGATTAGTTACTTACTCTGAACAGACTAAGTGCTCATTAAAGTTAATGCTGGTGACTAGATTAATTAATACGATAATAGCTTCCATCACTGCCTTTGGGTAATATACGTATGCTATATGATGGTGTGCTTCAATTCACTGCCTCATACTTTTTCTTTTTGTATTTTTGATAATTGATTAGGCTATGCAAAAGGAGAGATTGTGTTTTATAAACCGTATATCAGGATACGCATTCCTAAATAATTTTCCATTTCTTTTTGGGCAAGAAGGGTAGAATATGATGACATTTGGATATAAGTCTACTAGGAACATTTCAATGATTTATGGGAAAAATATGAGGGACATGGGATTGTCCTGAAAATTTCAGTAAATGTAGACAATGATATGCATCATAAGTAAGTACTTTACTACTCATTGATAAAAATACTGAACACAATGGAACCTATCAAAAAATGCATTTTACATAAAATGACTGTGGTATGTTTATTCTTGATAAACAGTGCTAGTCCATGTTTAGAATTGTTGCTGTAACACAGTCACATGGAAAGCCACTGTGACCCTCTTTACTAAACTTTTGCTTCTTAAGCAGTGCCAGTTATTTAGCAAAGTAACACAATTTTATTATATCTCTCTTGGAAAAAATGATCCTGTTTTTCTGAGTAACAACCCAGAATGAATTCAAAAGATTCCAGTTGGCTCAAATATATGGATACTAACCTTTGCCTGTCCATAATATCAGAAGTTAATCTTCTCTGGTGCTTCAGTGTTGATTCAGTGGGATCCTCTGGTAGAATATTTGATGCCCCACTTTTGGGCAGTGTTAGCCAAAACACAGAGTAAGAATTGTGAGTATGTCAGTTAGTTTTCACAGTGTGGTTGTACAATAATAAAAAAAAAAAAATCACCTTTTAAGCAAAATTATGGACATCAAGCCTCAATGGATGAGGTAAACAAAATGGAGTCACTCAAGCTAAGTGCAAATATGTAAACTAAAACTTTAAGGAAGCCAGTAGATACCAAAATAGATCAGCTAAAGCTTTATGCCTAACTCCTTGATCATAAAGTAACCTCAAGTAACCTACTGTTAACCAGTCAACTTTTTACTGTTCTGTTTCTTTGTTACCAGGGGACAAACCCCATTTTTTTGCTATTTTCCAGTGGGACTTGAGACCAAAGAAGTCTATTTACAGTGGTAATCAAGAGCGAGATTAATGCACAACAGTCTGCTCATTAGTCAATTTTGAGAGGTTGACTGGAAGTGAAGAGGTTGACTAGATGGGGAGAGCTGTTAAGGTTGGCCTAAAGCTACCTCCCTATATAGTTGGTTTGTCCTAAAGCCTTTATATATAGTGAACTATAACCTAACTTGAAGGTAAATAGACTATCATTTATGCTTGTGACAGGCAACTGAATCTCAGCCAAGCACAAGCAACTAACTGCTCAAATTTCAAATAGGACAGAAGTACACTGTATCCAATGGGGCTCTCTCTTCCACACTTTCCTTTTCTACATGCTCTTTCTTTTCCTCTGGCTAAAAATCCACATACAGTGGGACAGAGCATTTTGGATCCAGGCTGCTGCCAGACTGCAGAATCATCAAGCCAATTAAGATCTGCAAAACAAATTTTGTTGTAATTTTCTCTTTTGGCTTATGGCATCACATTGTGAGAAACTGAATCACTTCTTACTTTCAAAATGAATTCTTTTTCATAACTTACAAACACATCTAGGGAAAAGTCTTAGCAAAAATCTTTCCTTTAAAAACTTTCTGGTTGTGATAGCTGGTACAGCCCTCAAGTTTAACTTTTTGTAGATCACAGCATCCAGCTCCAGTTTTAGTTATTTTTAAGGTTTCTTTTATTAACAACATGAGATATTTATTTTTCTATGAATAGTACTGAAGTTAGATTGTCTTTAAAATAAATTTAGCTAAGTTTAATGAATTGACATAAAAGAAAATATTCCATAGATAATGGGGTAGGGCAGGTCTCATGAAAGGAAGGGCTGAAATTTGGGGAACAGTTTTAAATAGTACTCTTGAGCAGCATCTAGGAGAAGATAGTTTCCAGACGTTATCTTAGATTTCATGTGTTTTTAACAAGGCAAAATGTGTATACAGTGATACATCTTATTGCATTTGAAAACTGGCTTGAGGCAAGTAATGAAAAGAATGGTCAAAAGTCTCTGTGCAGCATTCTTCCTTTATTTAGTTCTTATTACAGCACTAAAAAATTAGTTCTGATTGGTGTGTTCAGGCTCAGGTCTAAATGCCAGGGCTTTCTTTTGATTATATGGTTCAGTAATCAGCTTTCTGGCTCTCTCACACCAGTTACAGTGTATTTTGTGTGAAAATATGCATTTGAGATGGCTGTTTGCAGAAACATGGATTTCTGAAATGAGCCCTATCTGAGTTTGAGTTTTAAATATTTGCTTTATGCAAAGTTAGTACACTATTCACTATGCTGTTTCCTATGTGCAAACTTTTCTGAGTCATGATTTGTCTTTTCATCC